AACAATTCCCCCCCCTGTGTATCCCACATGGCCACTCAAGATTTTTTGGTGGTGGGAAGGCCCTATCCACTGGACAGCCCAAAGGAACTTAGGACTCCCGAGACTGATTGTCAGATTGGGTGCTCACCAGTAGTTGAGCACCCAATCTGACTATCAGTCTCGGGAGTCCTAAGTTCCTTACAAGATTATACTTGGAGCCCTTCCACCCAGGGGCCACATGGTTGCTATACGGCTAATTGGACCATTCAATTGGTAGCTCAGTCCAATATCTAGGGGCAACGATCCCCCCCCCCCCACCAACGTGTATATTTCAGAGCACTTAAATGTGAAAGGTGCGATATGTAAGTGTAACAGCAATGTACATTGTAAGGTTAACTAAAGAGTAAATGGTACATGCAGACTGCACTCCCACATGATGGGGACTGACCACAGAGGGGGCAGTGGTGGAGGCAGAGGGAAGGGGGTGTCCTGAAAACCATAGGAAAAACTAACACACACACAAAAAAAAAGGGCTTGGTCAATGTGAGACACGTTACGCCAATGACAGCTACATTTAGACAATTTTTTTTAAGTTTGATTTTGAAGTTCGGATGTCGGGAGCAATACAGCTCCTCTAAACCTTTAGCTAATCCTTCTGTATATACAGACAGAAAATATCTACAGCTCAGATCGGAACTTAAGCTCCTCATGTAAGACAACAGTAAAAAGCAATGCTATGCACTAAACAGATTTTACGTCCAGGGCAACAGGTGTGGGAAATTGCTCACTTCTGCCCTGAAGGCCCAACAACAGCACACATATATTCCAAAAATCAAACAGCAAGACGGGTCGACCACCCATACAGCCGAGGCCATAGCCGAGGCTTTTAGGGACTTTTATAGCTCCCTATATAATTTACATCATAATCCCCCATCTGCCATCTGAAGATATGAGGGCCTCCTGCAACAAAGCTAAAACCATAGATTATCACAGGGAGAAACGCAAACTTTAGACACTCCTTTCACCTTGGAGGAATTGACAAAGGCAATACACACGACTCCCTCGAATAAAGCCTTGGGACCGGACGTTTTTTCCTGTGCGCAGGGCGCTTCTTATAGGTGACTTAGGAGGGTAAGGACTACTAGGAAAGGGTAAGGACCATAAAGAGGGGGAGAGGGGAAGGACCACTAAGGAGTTTGGGAGAGGGAGGGAGACGAGGACCACTAAGGGGGGGAGAAGGTAAAGATCACTGCACTGATGGGGAGAGGAGAGGAAGGACCACTAAAGTGTTTGGGAGGGGTGGGGAGAGGCGAAGGACCACTGAGGGGTATGGGAGGGAGGGAGGGAACACTAAGGGGGAAGAAGGTAAGGACCACTGAGGGGGTAGAAGAGGAAGGACCACTAAGGGGTTTGGGAGAGGGGACATGGAGGACCACTAAGGGGGTGGGGGGAGAGGATGACCACTAAGGGGGGGGGTGAGAAGACCACCAAGGGGGACTGCAGAGGGACAGGGTGCCAAGGGAGAGTACTAAGGGACAGAAGGGGAGATCACTAATTGGCAGGGGGGGATAGCACTATAAAAAAAATAAAAATAAAGAGCTGCTCCCCTCTCAGCCCCTATCCTACCCCACAAACCCTCTCTTTTACACTACACACATATACAATGCATCACTACACACTGACTTCCCGAAACACACAATGCATCCCTTACGCGCACACACACAGAAACAAAATGCATCTCTTACACACACATAACGAACCCCTTACAGACACACACTGCATTAAATTACATACACAGAAACACAACTTGCATCCCTTACACACACTCAATGCACCCCTTACAGACACACACCTTGCATCCCTCACACACATACACCCAGAAACCTACAATGCATTCCTTATATACAAACACACACTGCATCCCCTATGCACACACTCAATGCACCCCTTACAGACACACACTGCATTAAATTACATACACAGAAGCACACCTTGCATCCCTTACACACACACACACACCCAGAAACTTACAATGCATTCCTTACACACAAACACACACTGCATCCCCTATACACACACACTACATCCCTTACACAAATTGGTAACCCTATACACTACATTAAATCCTTTACAATAACACATAACACATCCCCTACATACATACACTCCACTCCCTGTGAGAGAACTCATGGGTGGGCCATGTAGATGGATTTATGGGTGGGCCTTGTAGGCATACTCACGGTTAGGTCCTCGGGGCCCAGACCTTGAGCTGTGTAAGGGGCCTCAAAAATGGAGCTGCTTCCTGTTCATTAATTGGGCCACTATAGTCACCAGGAGCACTACAGCTTAATGTATTGGTTCTGGTGTTTATAGCCTTTGCCTGCAGGCTTTTTAATGTAAACACACTTCATTTTCAGAAAAAAGACACTGTGTACAGCACTGGCGTTGGCCCATATGGCGGCAAAAATCCTTGCACCGGCCCTGCCTGTGCGTACTATAAAACCTTTGCACAGGAATTGGCACCTCACTTCTTGGACTCCTTTAACTCCATATCCCCTTCCATCCCCTTTCCCCCATCCAGCCTGGAAGCTACCATCCTAATCCCAAAGCCAGGAAAGAACCTGGAGGCCTGTGGCAATTTTTGGCCTATCTCCTTGATAAATGTGGACATGAAATTGTTCACCAAAATGCTAGCACTACGCTTAAGGCCACACTTGCATGGCTGATACATCCCGATCAAGAGGGGTTTGTGCCAGCAAGGGAGGCAAGGGACAATACCACAAAGATAATAGACCTGGTACAACATGCGAGGGGCAGGGGGGAGGCCAACCATCCGGTTAGCAGTTGACGCTGAGAAGGCGTTCAACAGGGTGTTCCTCATGCTCATGCTGGAGAGTCTAGGTTTTGGGCCCGCATAGATGCAATGGATTAGGGCGATTTATTCTCAACCCTCAGCCCGGATTAAAGTAAATGGCATATTATTCCCTCCTCTACCCATTACCAATGGAACCCGACAGGGTTGCCCCCTGTTGCCCCTTTTGTTCATTTTGGTATTAGAACCGCTGCTTCAAGCAGTACGCGACAATGAGGATATCAGGGGAATACACGTAGGGCAGCGGGCATATAAGGTCTCCACCTTCGCGGACGACCTCTTCTTTACAAGCTCACACCCAGCCACTACCCTCCCAGAACTGACACAGAAACTGACCAAATATAGTTCCATGGCGAATTTCAAAATGAACGCTGAGAAATGTGAAATGCTTAATCTTACAGCGCAAAAGGGAGAAGCGACACGAATACAGAAAGAATTCCGCTTCCAATGGGCCCGCACATCGATTCAATACATAGGTGTCAGCATCCCAGCCAACCCTAGCGCACTATACACACTGAACTTTCCCCGCCTTCTAAGAACCATATGAACAGACCTCAAGAAGTAGGATAAGCCCACACTTGATACCGATACACCTCCCCAGAAGTTTCTTTAAAACCACTCAATCTCTGTTCACGCAGTTCATCTGGGCAGGGAAAAGACTGCGTTTGGCTTATCACATCATCACCCGCCCTAAAAGTAGAGGAGGCTTAGAACTACCCAACGTTCTACACTACCAATATGCTGTACATATGAGCAGATTCTAGGACTGGTCAATACAACCTCCCTCCAAATTATGGGTCCACATCGAACAAGAAGCCTCACATACTCCCCTACAGGCCCTACCTTGGGTGTTGTCCGGGTCACGGGAGTACCCAATCCCACACCACCCTACTATTTCAGCAACGCTCTCGTGTCTCTCACGATCTCGCCGAGGTATCCCATTTCTCACCACACCTTTTTCCCAGTAGGTCTTATACTACCCATACAGACACACTTAAACAACACACCGTATTTACCACTAGACAGCTTATATGACGGGCGATGCATCGTCGCCTCTGGCGCAGGCCTTCCAGTTCTTCCAGACTTCCCATTTCCTCAAAACCCTAGACATCCCAGGATGGGCGCTCAGAGATCAAACAGAGTTTGAAAGGTTATGCTCAGGCTCATCAGCAATCGCTAAGTCCACCTCACGCTGCCTTAAAATAATACAACCTCATCTACACCAAGGTTTCCCATACTTTACTAGGAAGTGGGAGAAATGTCCCACAGACATTTCTCCCACTTCCTAGTAAAGTATGGGAAACCTTGGTGTAGATGAGGTTGTATTATTTTAAGGCAGCGTGAGGTGGACTTAGCGATTGCTGATGAGCCTGAGCATAACCTTTCAAACTCTGTTTGATCTCTGAGCGCCCATCCTGGGATGTCTAGGGTTTTGAGGTTCTCTATGGGTGAAAGGGACTGGGAGTCGATTTTTAGGGGGTTGTTCTATGCACACTCGAGTGTCCAGTTGCAAGAAATAAACTACAAGTTAACTTTGGTATGGTATCTCATGCCAAAGGAAATTAATAGGTTCCACCCAACTACATCTCCCCTCTGTTGGAGATGCGGAGAGATGACAGGGTGACTTGTGCCATGTCTGGTGAAACTGTAAGAGAATAACACCCTTCTAGGCTCAAGTGAGGCACTCAGCACAGACTATCATGGGTACAAGCCTATTCCTTGAGATAGACACTATGCTGCTCCTACACCTGGATATGTCCTTCCAAAAATTTTAAAACTCATTGGTGAATTTTCTGCTTACGGCAGCTAAGTCTGTAATAGCATGCCAGTGGAAGGTGACCAAAGCCATGGAAGAACTCAGATGGTCGTCCCTGGGGAAACTAAATCAATACACTGAAACTGACAACCCTGTCTTTACGTTATGAGGGAAGGGTCGACAGGACTGCTGCAGGAACCTTAAATACATACGAGAAAACCACTCTATGGCATTATGATGAAATACTGACAACCAAAATGTAGACTGATTTGCAACAATGTGCAAGCAAGTTTAATGACACAATGTAATAGTTACAGATACTTTAAATAACAGCCGTAATCCTCCCAGAGCAAATAACAATAACTGACAAAGATGACCTAGCCTAAGGTAAGGCTATGTGCGTTGGATCACACCAGGCGATTCGCGGGAAGCCGCCGCGTGAATTAGGGGATCAGCGTGCACTAGAGAGCCTGCACGGATTGCAGGCTCCAACAAAATGGCCGCGACCATCTGGCGCAAGCACGTAGGATACAAGATGGCCACCGGGATCTCGCGCAAGTGTGCAAGGTCCAAAATGGCCGCCGCAAGGTAAAAGGGATCATCGGAGGCATTCTCCTAGGTCCCAAAAAGCCTGAGAAAATCGGGAAGGCAAAAGGCCTGCCTCGATTCTGGACAAAATGAATGCAATTGAAACAATAAGACACAAAACAAAATAGTGAAAATTAATAGTAAGAGAAAAACAGCTAAAACTCATTTAAAATAAGGGAGGAAAAAAATAAAGGGAAAAAAAAGGGAAAGTATAAGTATTAGAAAAAAGATGTACCTCAGAAAACAGAGATAAAATAAGGGAAACAATAAGTAAATGACAGAATAAAAGAAACATCAGAAAATTAAGATAAAATAAAATACACAAAGTGGGAGACAGTGGCACTCTGACCTGGGCTGGTGTAGAGCAGCAAAGAAAGAGGAAGAAGCTGATTGGGGGAGGGACTTTTATTGCCTGTGGTCTAGGGATGTGCATTGGCAAAAAATTTGGTTTGGTTCAGCACTTCTGAAATTAGGGACTTCGGCAATTCGGCACTTCCAAAATTCGGTAATTTGGCTATTCGGCAGTTTGGGACTTTGGCACTTCATTTCGGTTCAGTACATCCGAAATTCGGGACTTCAGCAATTCAGGATTTCGGCAACTCTGGACTTTGGCAACTCCCCAACCCTAACCCCAAACCCTACCCCTAACCCTACCCCCAACCCCAACCTTATCCCTAACCCCAACCCTGACCCTATCCCCAACACTATCCCTAACTCCTAACCACCACAACCACTTACACATCTAGGGGTAGGGGTAAGGTTAGGGTTTTTTCGGTTGGGGGTAGGGTTAGATTCCTGTCATTATTCCTGTACTTTTCCCTCCCTCTCTTGTTTTGCCACTTTTCAAAAAAATCAGAAGCACTTCGGCAGTTCGGTACTCCGGCAATTCAGACATTCGGAAGCATCCGAATATCCGAATTGCTGAAATTCTTCTGAATTTACATTTGGAACGAAACGTTCCTTTTTTCTGATTGGTTTATCCTGTTACTATGTGAAAGTTATGCCGTTGTGGATCTTAAGTAAATATTAGGCCTCCTGTCATGTTATAAAATGTTTGCTCCAAGCTTAGTCTATGGACTCAATCAATGACCAATGGAAGTGAGGTTTCCAGAATATTTGGTATTTTAGGCAGTCAAGATGGCACAAAGGTATTCAGAGCATAGCCTATAATGTATTCAGACAAGCTAATGTCATAAATGGTTTTGCCTCCCCCCCCCCCCTGTTTTCAAAGTCTTCTACTCAATCTAGAAGGGATGCTCCTCTACTATAGAATGTTGGGTTTTGATTGTAAGTTGATGAAATAATTCATCTGTAGGTTTTGTTATTTTCTTCAGTTTAGTATCTAGTAACAGTGAGATGATGGCTATTTCTTGTGCCTTCTTTAAAGTATCTATATATATATTGTCTCTTTAAATGTGTATTTGATTAGGAGACCCTTGTGTGGAAAATTTAGCAGAGCTTCTTGGGGGGCAAAACTTGAGAATGAGTGTGGATTGAACTCTGAGTTTTACTTTGGAGCCGGATTCATTGACTGACTTGGAGGTGGTTACTATACATTTATACAGGAGATTGGTGATTATACCACTATCATGTTCTTTTCTACATGTATATCCCATGTGAGAAATTTGATTTCTTAGTTATTTCTCAGACAACTCCCTTGTCAATTTCTCTGCTTACTCAGTGTATAGGTCTTTGGTTTTGTCACTAGAGGAAGCGAGTGTTGGTGTTCAACAGTCACTTCTGGCTCAATACCTTTATAACAAAGTGTCAAAAATATGAAGATGTAAAGGAAGCTGTGGAATGACCTAATTTGGCCAGCCTTCTTTTGAGTGATTTGTATGCCACTCATTCTTTGCTTACAGTTGTACAAACACAAGAATTCTTTATTTACCAATGGTAAAAATAACAGTTACAAAATTAAAGAAATAAAAATTGTGAATGGGGGATAAACCTTGACAGGTCTATATGTTTGCACAAAATATGTATACTCTTGAATACAGTGCAGTTATTACTGCACATTTCTTTTATTACTTACAGTCTTTTCTTTTTAAAATGTAAAATACCCTATTGGGCATTACTATTAGAACCCTGTAAAGAGAAAACACACTTATCTGGAATTTAGCTCCAGGCAAAGCTCCCCATATTAGTTTCCATGAGCGTGCATAGGTAAGGTCAGAGAGGTCGTGGAAACTAATACGGGGTGATTCAATTAAATATTCCTCAAAATGTTTGCACAGAATTGACATTAAGCAATCTAGAACTGAGTTCTGGGCTCCTTTAGTCATGTGTGTCCCTGGTGCAAAAGTGCAAATATCTCAGAATGTGCAGCATATGCAGAAGTGGTCATTATGGCTGAAGTGACCATTTAAATTTAAAAATGTTACATTTTAAAACAAATACAAAACGTAGGAAAAGCAAAGTAATTTAAAGGTTTACAATTATAAACTGGGTTTATTATGGAGCTCTAAAGGTTCCCTCAGGTACAAACTACACTACTATAGATCACTTCTTTATGTCCTCAATAATAATATACTGTCTGTATCACAGAAAATTTAAATGAATAACAAAGAGCCATAGGCTTGTGTGAACCTCCACACGAATGAAAACCAAATTCACACCAAACTATTTTTTTTTTATGATGAACCGATTTGGGCAAACTACATTTTTCACAAGTCTAAAGAGCCACTTATTCCCTATAGAAATATTGAAAGCTAACTGCTCACTCTGTATATTATGCCATATGGGTGATCTTTATTACTTTAGCTCTATTTATGAATATACTTTCAGCCGATATCTTTTTTAAAGAATTTTTTATTTAATATTATTTCTCTATTTGATTTTAAAACAAGGACATGTATTTCACTTATGCAATGTTTCATAGTACTAACATATAACACTGTACATTATAAAACCCTTATATCACCATTACAACGAAGATTGGATAAAATAGATCTACCTAAAAGGAAATCCTTTGTATCAATAAATGCCAATACTTAGGGTAATACATATGTACCTAGATATGTATGCAATACATGCCTTGCACAGAAAACTACAGGGACTACATAAATTACAATTACATAGACTACATGAACAAACATAAACATGTGAGCGCAACATGATGAGGGGGCCAGTTTCAAATTCCTTTTGTACAATTTAGGATGAAGTCAGAATGTTAGGGCAATTATCAAACTGGATATTTTAAAAGCCACTTTTTTCCATACTTGATAATGTTTTTCATAATTAAGTTGGGCAGCAAAGTATCCCCTTTCCATTTGGGCTTGATGTTTCATCTGGTAATTACATTCTCTGTCTTTATTGTATCGCTTTGATGCCATTTTCTAGCTATGACCGTCTTTACTGCTAAAAATCTCTGTATAAATAAAGCTTTATCTTTTCTTGATAGCATTTCTAATTCCATATTGAAAAGGGCTCTTTGGATCGAAAGTGGAATTATGGTGTTAGTTATACTGGAGAGAATAGCAAAAATGTCACTCCATGCTTGTTTAATTTTATTGCAACTCCACCATATATGTTGTAAGTTCCTACTGCTTCCTTACATCTCCAACATATTGGATTCATCCCCATATTAAACTCTGCCAATCTTACTGGGACTAAATACAAGCACATAATGATCTTATAATTTAATACAACCATATTTAAGCAATGAGTGATCTTATTGACCCCGACCAGACTGACTATCCATTCTTCTAGATTGAAATGGTCTTCCAATTCCCTTTGCCAACTCTCATAAGATTTTAGGCTATATGTTTTATCCAGATCTTCTAAAAATCAATACCATCTAGCCATTTCTTTTTTCACAGCAGCGTTATTCAAAATATTTAGAATACCATGAGCCGGTTTATTTTGTAAATATGCATTTTTAAATAATGCCACATTCTGAGTGAATTAAAATATTCTGACTCTTTAAATGCGTATTCCTTAAGGATCTGTATTGGGGTTTTAATACCCTCCTCAGATATAAAATTGCTTATAAGATGTAAAATGCGCCCAGTGATTGAGATTCAAATGAGGAATATTATTCTTAAGAACGTCCAGAGGAGCAGAGGGCAATATTTTATCTTTCATGCCTATACGGTTTTTATATTTAATCCAAAATTGAATTCAATTCTTAGTCACCATTGATGATTTTTTTTTATGTAAGGCATTATATTTTTCAAGGTGAATCCATATAGCACACTCCAAGTTAGTGGTCACTGCAAGTTCTTGTTCTATATAAAACCAATTTGTGTCTTTGCTTATTTTACATTGGAGCTTAGATAAATGGCACAACATACTCGCTTTTGGATATTGTTCTAGACTAGGCAAATTTAGTTCCGCCTTTCTACCACTAGAGCAAATAATTTTTTTTATACTCTGGATTTCTTATCGTCCCATATAAATGTGTTAACTCTGAAATACTTTAATCCAGCTTCATTGGAATCATTCTCAATAAATACAACGATTTAGGAATTATATAAGATATAATCACATTTATCCTTTACATCCAAGAAATAAACAGCCGTTTCCACTCCCCCAATTGCCTATTCATATCATCAAAAATAGCTGAATAGTTTGCTTCAACTATTGATTGTATATTATTTGGGATTTTAATCCCCAAATATGTGATCTCATCTATACCCCACTGAAATGAAAATCTTGCTCTCATACTATTTTTTTCTAAGTCAGATATTGAAAAATCCAATACTTGGGACTTATTCATGTTTATTTTATAGTTAGAAAAACGACCATATTCCTGAATTTCATATAGCAATGAAGTCAGAGATTTCTCAGGATCATAAAGAGATAACAAGATATTGTCAGCATACATGCTTAGTTTGTTTTCTAAATCCCCTATCTTAATACCTTTAATATGTATATTATTCCTTATCCTTGCAGTGAAAGGCTCTAATGTTAAAATATAAAGCATTGTTGCAAGGGGACAACCCTGACGGTTTCCATTATATATATTCACAAAAATGTGAGGGAAACAGGAGAGAAAGGATATTGGTAGAGTATCCCATGGAGTT